TTCTTTGGCTGTGTGTTTATTTCCAGACAGCTTTATTTTATTCACACATTTATTTGTATTTATTCTAGAAGCTCATGCACTTGTGACACCAATTGTGGGATGGTATTTAGATACCGTTGTTTGATGGATTATTTCACTATATTTCAAACTTTGCTTCCGCATTTATTTTCTTGTTATTAATAAATTTAAAACCGTTTTAAAAATGGATAATATTATTCTAACGTTGGCTTGCCTAGCAAGTGAAATGTTAGGCGCCATCACGGTCCGAAGGTTGGAATTTCGGGTCATGACAAAATTCCTTATAGATTGCGAGATATAAGCTTCCAAAGTCGGGTCAGTGCCGCAGAAAATTTCCTCTAAGAGATCACGAAAGGCCTTACGCGATCGCGATTCACTGGCCATTTCCCCCCATTTTGTTCTTCGCGATTGCGGCCAATTTCACGCGATCGCATAGCACACTGCTGTAGCCAAAAAACAGGAGCTATAATTGGCCTAGAAATGGTCCGAAACCATCCCGAAACTCAACCGATCCCCTTGGGACCCCGTCCAATCATACCATCAAGTTCCATAACATAACACGGAGCTGCTCGAGGCCTCAAATCACATCGAACAACATCAAAACGACGAATCACACCTCAAATCAAAATTTATGAACTTTGAACTTTCAAATTCTATATCTTGTGCCGAAACACATCAAATCAATCTGGAATGACTTTAAAATTTTCACACAAGTCATAATTGACATAACGAAACTATTCAAATTTCAAGAATCGGATTCCGACCCCGATATAAAAAAGTCAACCCCCCGGTCAAACTTTCCAAAAATTCGACTTTCGCCATTTCAAGCTTAATTCCACTATGGACCTCCAAATAATTTTTCGGACACGCTCCTAAGCCCAAAATCACCCAACGGAGCTAACAGAACCGACAAAACTCCATTCCGGAGTCGTCTTCACATGTTTTCGACTATGATCAAAATCCTAAGACTTAAGCTTCCGTTTTAGGGACCGAGTGTCCCAAATCACCCCGAATCATCCGGTAACTGAATTCAACCACGCACGCAAGTCAATACACATAATACGAAGCTGCTCAAGACCTTAAGTCGTTGAACGGGACGTTATAACGAATGATGACGATGAAGGCCGTTGGTAAAGAAACATGAAAAGCCACCATGTTGAGTCACAATGGTTGGCAAAATCTACAGACTGACATTTAGTTTGGCACAATATTTTAATTATTTATTTGGTGAAAAAAATGATAATTATTTTTTTGATTCCATGAATTTTCATAAAGGATGAATTGCATTTCCACCATGACTTATCCATACAAACTTTACAATGTAAAAGTACACATACAAACTACGTGAATAATATCGGAAAGCAAACAAAGAGATGACTTCAAGGTTCTTGTCGTCGTTTGGTTCCAATTAGATTGAAGCAAATAAAGATCAATAAATAATTTATTTAGTTGGAATAGTCACAATCATATGTTGCAACGTGAAATAGATTTTACACTCGCAAAATTTAATTTTTTATTTGCTAATAAGTTTCTTTTCATGGCAGTAATTAATCTCAAAGAAATCGACATAGGAACGGCTTTTTGACTGTGACAAATTGCCTCCAAAGATATTAATTGCACAGTCTTGGGTTGAGCAACAATATCAGAGCAGTGAATCAAAGAAAAAGCGACAACAAAATTCGGGTTTAATTTTCTACTTCGCTTATTCTTATTTATTTATCTATTTAGCCCTATGTAACTTTTTATGAAGAGCTCTGTTCTCTAAATGGCCAAAGTGCCATACTTGACAAAATAACTTCTCCAGGTAATACAACAAGAATCCTTATAGGAAATCAAGAAGTATTGTATGGGACAAATAAAAATAAAAATATTTGAAATCGTGATTCTAATAATAGGTTTTGATATTGATGAAAAGTTAGAAAAAATCAATTGTGACGTTCAGCTCATGAGATATAAAAGTTTGATTTTTCTTCTTCTACAACTCATGATTAGCAAATATTTGATGCTACAATTTTGAAAGAAGACAAAGTTAATCTCTAAAATAATGAACCAAGAGAGACATAAATACGAGATTAATTTTATTTTTTGTCTCTTGACTTAGTATTAATAATTTTTTAATGTCGAGATTCTAGCCTAGCTATGTGCATTTCTACCAATGATTAAAGGATGTCTTGCTATATGATGTTCAATACATGCGTTTAGGGGTGTATAAACCAAATCGGAAAATTGTATCAAACCGAAAAGTCGAACCAAACCAATTAAAAAATCAGATTAGATTTGGTATTGAGTAAAAAAACTCGATCAAACCGACATATAAATATATAATTTTTATATATACTTCCAAGACTTTTTATAGAATTTTCCTTTAAAAATGCCTAAAAATATTTGCGATTCTCTTATGGGATGTAATATTTAGTTAAATATGAAGTGTTCCATTTTATTAACTTTAAATATAGGTTGTAGGATTACTTTTTTATCAAATGCTAGTGAAATGCGTCAATCTCTTTGTTCTTCCATTTTCATATGTCATGATCTATTTAATTCTTATATCTTTTTCAAATTTGAAATGGTATTTCGATATTTAAAATTAAATAGAACATATCATTATATAGGTTCATATTTATTTTAATGTTTAATTATTAAATTCGGTTAACCTTGAAAGTATACATCAACGCAAATTTATTGTCAGATGACTAAAAAATAACTATCATGTGTTACTAAGAAAATTCTTCAATAAGAATATTTTAATAGATCATATATTTATTAATTTTTTAAATTTTTACTAAATATATATTTACTTATCAAAACTTTAACAAAGTAACAAAACCGAACCAATCCGGTTCATGTACACCCCTACATACATGTTAGACATTATATGTAAGCTATACTTAAAATGAATTCTTATCAAAATGAAGATGAGTTAGTTTACGCTTTTGATTACATGCATGAATTCGTAGAGACAATCATTTTCAAGTTTGCAGGATGTGAATTACAGACTTACCTTAATACTTAAAAATTATTTTAAAATCTTGAAATAAAATAAATCTAGTTTATTTAAACATTACTGTAGGTTTTGTTGAAGGTTGAAACCTTTTGAGTTGTCAAATTCTATTTTGGCTCTTATGAAATGAGGTTAAGATATATTGGATGCAAATAATTTAAAACCACATTGAAGTAGCGTGTAATATTGAAGTGAAAAATGTTGTATTACATGTCTCAGCATTTAAAAGGGTCCTAAGTGCAAAACAACCGAAATAGGAACGGACATCAAGAATATCGTCTATAAATAAGTATTAGGCAAGATATATTTAATACATAATTGTACCTCATAAAATCAATCTTAAAAATTCACATGTATTTAATTAAACTTTCATTATTCATGTTTGTAGATTCAGACTATATGATCCAGTCATTTTGACTTTGGCAAACAAGTCACAATGATGACCCATAACATTGATCTTTCATAGAAACTTATACTTTATTTTTTCATATAAAATTTATTTACTCAAAATTTTGTTGTACTAATATTAATATTATTTTACACAACCATATATTATATGACTCGGTATACACGTGTGTTACCGAGAAACTAATTAGTTAATAAATAAGTAAGTTTTAGTTGTATCGAACTTCTAATATGAGTGCGTGATTGAAAAGTGACATGCACCTATGAAAGATCTTCGCCTAAATTGATGCTGCCTATAAGGAAAGGATAAGTCAGATAATTAAGAGTATAAATTATCATGGTTTGAGGGGCTATTTTAGTTAAATAAATATTGACAATTAGATTTAAGAAGGGACAAGTGTCATAAAATTAAAGTTACTCCGAAAGAACTTGACGGATGATGTACATGAGGTGAGCCGAATCCGAGTTGAAATATATTATCGGCAGGGGTGTAAAAATCGAATCGAAAAATCGCACTAACCCGAAAAGTTAAATCAAATCGATTAAAAAATTCGACTTGACTTGGTTTGATTTGGTTTGGTATTGAGTAAAAATATCTGAACCAACCCGACATATAAATATATAATTTTTATATATACTTTTAAGATTTTATATAGAATTTTCTTTAAAATATATATATAAATATTTAGGATTCTCTTGCGGAATATAAATTTTAATAGAATATGAAGTGCTCCATATTTATTGACCTTAAATAATGGGTTGTATGATCACTTTCTTATCAAGTGTTACTGAAATACGTCTATCTCTTTGTTCTTTCGTATTCATATCATATGTTAAGATCTATTAAATTCTTATATCTTTTTCGAATGTGAAGTGATTATTAATATTTATGTATCATATAGATTTTTATGTTTAATTACTAAATTCGGTTAACCTGAAAGTGTACATCAACAAAAAATTATTGTCAGACGACTAAACAAATAACTATTATGTATTACTAATAGAATTCTCCCATAAGAATATTTTAATGGATAATATGTTTGTCAATTTTTTATATTTTTATTAAATATATATTTACTTATCAAATACTTAACAAAGTAAGATTGAAGTAACAAAAAATTCGAAAATCCAAAAAACGTGACAAAACCTAACCAATCCAAACCGATATAGTTGATTTGGTTTAATTTTGATAAAACCGAACCAATTCGTCCATGTGCACCCCTAATTACCTGTTCTACTTTGTTTGGAACCTATTTTCTATTAGTCTCTTATAAAAGGAATGTCACAGTAAGACTGATTTGACTAACTAAGGGTTACGACAACGACAACGACGTATGTGCGTGGAAACTAGAAACGCAAAAGACCAACTAACACGTTTCAGGTAGGAGAACTGAAAGTAAAACCAAAACCTTATTGATTTCGGATTCAATGCCTTATAAAAAGCTAGCAGCCCATATGAATTTCATTATGAAACTAAATCAGAAAACCGGTAGTAGGGTAATTCTTTTATTTTTGGCTTAACTATACTTCACCTCACCACTTTCTTTACATAGTTTTTTAAGTTGTGAATTCCGTCATGGCACGAGGGAGAAACATGGAAGAGGAGGACGAAAATTGGGAGATTAAGAGTAAAAAAACAACCCAGAAGCGGCGGAGAAGGGAGGTCTCAGAGGAGGAGGAGGAAGAAGTCGGCTATAGAAGGAGGGCGGCTTCACAGTTTTTCGAGTTAGAAGCAGTAGACACTGATGAAGAAGAGGACGAGGATGAACAAGGGGAAGATGATTTTATTGATGATGCTGAAGTCGTCGACTTCGATTCCAACGAAAGAGAAGATTTTGGTTTCCGACAACGTCAAGTTGTTCGTCCACAAATTGAGGAAGAAGAGGAAGAGGAAGATATTGACGAATTTGAAAGGAGAATAGAAGAAAGGTACGGCAGAAAATCAAGATATGATGAAGAGGAAGATGAAACAGAGGTATTTCAGCAAGCCCTTTTGCCTACAATAAGGGACTCTAGGTTATGGATGGTTAAATGCGCAATTGGTCATGAAAGGGAAGTGGCAGCATGCTTAATGCAGAAGCAAATTGACAAAGCTTTTAACTTGAAAATTAAATCAGTCATAGCACTCGATCATATCCAGAATTATGTATACGTCGAAGCCGATAAAGAATCCCATGTTAGGGAGGCATGCAAAGGGATTTGTCATGTTTTGTTGAAAAATAAGTTTGTGTTGGTTCCAAACGCGGAGATGTCCGATGTGCTTTGTGCCAAAAGCCGAGAAAGAGAATTTACTAAGGATTCTTTGGTGAGATTAAAAACTGGGAATTACAAAGGAGACATTGCTCAGATTGTGGACGTAGATGATATCCAGAGAAGGGTCACTGTAAAATTGATTCCAAGAATTGATTATCAAGATTTGGTTAACAAATATGAGGGTAATAAACGACGGGAAGTTTCAAATAAAATATGCCCTCCACCAAGATTTTGGAGTGCTAGTAAAGCTAAAGCATTGGGCATTCCAGTGAAGCGCCAGAGGGATTCATTTACTGGGGATTACTTTGATACTGTCTTTGGCATGAAATTCAAAGGTGGTTTCTTGTATAAATCAGTGTCCATTAAGTCCATCCATAACAAGATTCAGCCTACGCTGGATGATCTTGAGAAATTTCATGCAGCCAAGGAGAAAGTAGATGACAGCAACAATGCAGAAATTTCATGTTTTTCCACTCTGCTTGCAAAGAATCTGAAGAAAGATTCCTTTAAAGCAGGAGATCAAGTAGTAGTTGTCAATGGAGATTTAATAAATATAAAGGGATGGGTTCTGAAGGTTGAGGATGATATTGCTTATTTCAGACCAACAAATGGAGATCTGCCTCAAAATTCTCTTGCAATCAAGAGCACAGATTTAACCAAGCTACTTGGAGATAATGCCTGTGAGGTTGCATGTTGCGAACAATCACTATCATTAGCTAGTAAAAATTATAACAACAAAAGTAGAAATGGGGATGTAAGATTAGGATCAATAGCCAATTTCAGACCTCCACCTCCTAAACAAGGATATGGATTTGGAAGAGTAAGGCGTGATCCATTGGTGAATGCTCGAATTAAAATCCGTCAAGGACCTTATCATGGGATGGTTGGAACTGTTGTAGAGGTTAAAGGGAATAAAGTTCGGGTAGAATTGGAGGCTCGAATGAACTCTGTTTATGTTGATCGCAATCAAATTTGTGAGAACGTGAAAGTGGACAATTCTATATGCGTGGAAGAGGGTTATGGTCTAGGGGGTGAGACTCCTATGTATTGTGCAAGAACTCCAATCCGTCCACAGATGACTCCGACAAGAGATTCTTCTGCAACACCTACTCATGAGGGAATGAGAACACCTATACCAAGTCGAGCATGGAAGCCTTATTAGCTAATTGAAGTAGTCGCTAACATTCTTCTAATTCGTACTTGCTCCTAGTTTTCTTATGAATGTAAGCATATTTTTCCATTACGTTTATTCTGCAATATGGTTTTGTAGTTGTATATGCAAAATTGGGTTTATATATACAAATATCAATTTTTATAAGTTGTTTACACTTGTCTTGGTAGCATCCTCAAATCTCAATGTATGATAATAACTATTGCATGTCTAGATCAGTCTGATTCCTAAGTCATTCCACTTTCTAATAAGTGTTAGACTAATATAAGTTTATTTCAAGGATGTGCATCTTTGCAGATATGCTGGAATATGCAGTTTCATTGTCCTCTCATCAGTTCTCTGAAATCTCGTGATCAGTGCTTTTGACTTTTGTCGAGTTGAGTTTGTCTACCAAAAAGAATTATTTTGTGTCGGGGAAGAATGAGACGGAATGCTAGGATATCAGTTTTATCAAATAAAACATAGTAAAAGAAACTGTACCGAAAAAGGAAAGATAAAAGAACCAAAATCAGAAAGCACCGGGACATTCACGTTAAAAAGAATAGAGTAGTATCAGTTACTCCATCAGTTGATATCTCATAATGGGGTGGTTCTCTCACAAGGTTTAGATGTTTGATAACAAAGGTTAAAGATTTGTTATGTAAGCAAAATGAGCAGGGTGAGACTGCTTTGTATGTTGCTGCCGAAAATGGCCACTGTTTGGCTGTTGCACAGTTTGGTTATTACAACCATAGTTTAGTTGTTGTAGCAAAGCATGAAAAACAGAAAATGACAAAAGGAAAAGAAGTAGTAATTTTTCTTTACAGATTTCATCTTGAAGCTATCAATCTTGACTTAGTGCTTCAAATGCTCACTGTATTTAGGCTAACATCACCTGCAACTTTCTTTCTGGACTTTGTCACAAGGAATGAGTTTAGCCATTGTATCTTTTAGGAGTAGTAGTATCTTGGCCATCTATTTGCATTAATGTGGTTTTTCTGGCATTATCTGTACTTTATGAATATCTTATGTATTTATTCTCTTTTTGGCTGTTTTTACATATCAAGTGGAGTAGTAATTGTCTTCTCTAGATTGTCATGTTTTATATATCATTGGAAATTGCACACTCAGGTTGTGAGGTGTTTGGACCAAACACACTCACGCAAGTATACGTGGTCGTCAAGTAATAGAGTAGTGAATAAAGTATCGTTCCCACGAAGATTTATGATTAACTTTTGACTAATTCAAACTCAAATAGTTTATCGATTCAAGCGATTTCTTATAAAATAGATAATTGTCTAATTTACTACCTAAAAACTATCAATTAATGAAGTACTAGAAATCAACACAACACTTAAATAGTTTTAAATAACAATCAATGGGAGATAATATTCCAGGGTCACGGGTTATCTATAACAATCATGTTGCATTCGTAGCTTAAAATAACTAATTGATTTATCTGGATTGTTGATTGACAGGGTTGATATTACTCATAAGAATATGTCAAGTCCTTACTTGCCTATTTAAGCTAACTTAATACCTATATGTCTATGGAATTAAGATTAACAAGAACGCATTTATAATTCCTGTATTGCAACCGAGTAAGGCAATTAGGTATATGTTTATCCTAATTGCGAATAAGTTCCCCGATGCCCGGGTTTAAGAACTTGCTCTATTTAATTCTATATGCAATCTAGAGTTCCCACTTTCGAGTTCAACTCTAGATTCGTAGATAGTATTTCACT